ACTAGGGCTGTAGATAGGGATTCAAACTAAATAGTGGGGATGGGGCATACTCGGTTGCAAGTAAAATCAGAAAATCAAAAGTTAAAGGAGAAGATAGGATTGCTTAGTGATAGGGCTGATTGTTACCAGAAAATAAAAGGAAGGGCCAGAATGAGCAACTGTCAAATTGTTACCGAGGAAACAACAAGTGTCGGGAAATTTGATAAACAAACTTAAGGGTTTTGTGTTTTAACGCACAAAGCATTCAGAATGTGATTGATGAATTGATACCACGAATGAAGTAAATGAATATGACCTCATAGCCAAAATGGAAACATGGTTCAAGGAGATCAAAACTGGGAATTTAACGTTCAGGGATATTTACCTTCTGGAGAGGCAGGAGGGATAGAAAAAAGTGGTGGGGTATAGTGTTAATAAGAAATGAAATGTGGACAGTTGTGAGAGATAATCTAGTCTCAGATGATGTACAGTCCATTTGGGCAGAGGTAAAAATATAGCAAAGGATAGAAGACATTGGGAGGAGTAGTGTACAGACCCTAAACAGAAGTCTCTCCGTAGAAAAGGCTATAAATAAACAAATAATATGACCATGTAAGAAGAATACAGTAACAATTTTGGATGAGTTTAATCTTCATGTTGATTGGGTTAAACAAATTGGAAAGGGTGGCTATGACAATTAATTCATAGAGTGTATTAGAGATAGTTTCCTGGAGGAATATGTCATGGAGCCAACCAGGGAGTAGGCTATCTTGGATCTGGTATTGGATAATGGGGCAGGTTTAATGAATTATCTCAGAGTAAAAGATCCCTTGGAAGTAGTGATCATAACATGACTGAATATAATATTCAGTTCAAGAGTGAGAAATCTGGGTCAGACCCAATCATGTTCAACTTTAAAAAATATAATTTCTATGAAATGAGGATAGAGTTAGCTAAAGTGAACTGGGTGGATAGATTAGCAAGAAGGCAGTAAGCAAACAGCGCCAGTCACTTAAGGAAGTAATTCAAAGAATCTCAGCAAAAATGCATCTCTGTAAGGAGGAAAGATTCTAAGAGAGGGATAAACCAATTATGACTAACTGAGGAAGTTAAGGAGAGTATTAAGATAAAAGGATATAAGGAGGCAAAAGTCAACGATATCCCAAAGACTGGGGTAATTTCAGAATCCAGCAAATGATAACTAAAAAAAAGACAGAGAAAATAAACCACAAGGACAAACTAGCGAGGAATATATAAACTGACAATAAGTTTCTTTCTAAATATACAAAAAGGAAGAGTGAGGTCAAAGTGAATATAGGACCCATAGAAAGTGATTCTGAAGAGATGGTTTTGGGGAACAAGGAGATGGCGGAGGAATTAAACAGGTATTTTGCATCAATCTTGTGGAGGAATATACTTCAAGCATCCCATTAATACAAAAGAATACAAGGGATGAATAAGTACCATCACGATCATTAGAGAAATAATATTAGACAAACTAATGGGGCTAATGGCAGATAAGTTCCCTGGCCTGGATAGCTTGCATCCTAGGATCCCAAAATATGTAGCTACAGAGATAGTGAACGCATTGGTTGTAATTTTCTGAAAAGTCCTTGGATTCTGGAGACGTACCAAGAGATTGGAAAACTGCTAATGTGGCACCCCTATTCAAAAAGGGAGAGAGGCAACAAGCAGGTAACTATAGACCATCATCTATTGTTGGAAAAGTATAGAAATTAATTATCAATTAAGTAGTAGCAGACATTTGGAAAATCATAATCAAATCAAACAGAGCTGCATGGGTTTATGAAAGGGAAATGGTGTCAGACTAATTTATTGGAGTTTTTTGAGGACGTCTCAACCCGGGTGGATAGAAAAGAATTAGTGGAACTGTTGTATTTCGACCTCCAGAATGTGTTCAACAAGGTACCACAAAAGGTTAAGTCATGAGATTTGTGCCTATGATGTTGGAGGTAGTACATTGGTGTGAATAGAGAATTCACTTATGGGCAGGAAACAATGAGTGGGAATAAGGGGTTATTTTTCAGGTTGGTGACCTTTGACCAATGTGGGTTGTACAGGGGTCAGTGCTGGGATCTCAAATGTTTGCAATACATAGATTAATGACTTGGAGGAAGGAAGTGAATGTACTGTAGGCAAACTTGCAAGCGACCAAAAACAGTTGGAAAGACTGGTTGCGAGTGGATACAAACAGTTTGTAGAGAGATATTAATAGGTTAAATAAATGGCCAAAAATTGGCAAATAGAATATACTGTGGATATCTGAATTTGTTCATTTTGATAGGGAGAACAAATTACAATTTAAATGGAGAAAAGCTGTAAGACAAAGGTACTTGGGTGTACTTATGCATGAAACACAGAAAGCTAGCGCATCGATACAGCAGGTAATCTGGAAAGCTTACTTTAACGGCCAGATATATGAACAGATCAATGGGACACCCATGGGATCACCTATCTCTGGACTAATAGTTGAAGCGGTGATGCAGAGACTGGAAAGTACAGTCCTTCTGCTAATCCAACCAAAACTATGGATACGCCATGTGGATGACACCTCCGTCATTATTAAGCAGACCAAAGTGGAGGAGACACACGAACTAATAAACACCCTCATTGGGATCAGATTCACCAGAGAAGAGGAGAAGAACAAACAGCTCCCATTCCTGCACGTCATGGTAGAGCGCAGGACAAATGGGGAATTCCTAACAAAGGTACACAGGAAAGCCACACACACTGACCAAGTACTGAATTTCAACAGCAACCACCCTAACACAGACAAACAAACGCCAAAAAGAAGAAGAGTACCTCTTCCAGGTATTCAAAGACAACGGATACCCGAAAAACTGGGTCAGAAGATGTCTATTACACGAACGACATGAGGAAGATACTACACGCCCCGACACACTCATCACGCTATCTTACAACAGGCACACATCTGAACTGACCACAAAACTCCTACAACCACTGGGCATTAGAGTAGCGCACAAACCCACATCAACCCTATGACAACTGCTCACCCGAACTAAAGACCCACTACCCACTATGGACAGGACCAATGTCATATACAAGATTCCCTGCAGAGACTGTGACAAACACTACATCAGACAAACAGGAAGAAAATTAACGACAAGGGTACACAAACACCAATTGGCTACAAAAAGACACGACCAATACTCATCTCTATCCTCATGGATAAGGAGAACCACCAATTTGACTGGGACAACACCAGGATCCTGGGACAAGCAAAGCAGAGACAAGCACGGGAATTCCTAGAAGCCTGGTACTCCACGAAGAAAGCCATCAACAAACACATACAGCTTGACTGCATATACACTCCACTGCGAAGGAAAACCGGAAGTGAGGTAATCCAGCTCAACAGACTCCAGAGTTTAAATAACAGGCGGGAAATCACAACAGTGCTTCATCGGAGGCTGCACTGATGATGTTACCCAGCAGGGTAATGAAACGTCTGCGGAACAACAAACCAGCTTGGCGAGCCAACCAACCTCAGCACCCACAACCTGAGCTACAAATCTACTCCAAAACCTTCGAAAACCTTATTTCATTGGAGGAAATTCAGAGTAGGTTCACTTGGATGGTCCCCAGTATGAAGGGATTATTTTATAAACAAAGATTAAACAGGTTGGAATTTGGTTTCAATTTATTCATTGGAATTTAGAAGATTGAGTGGTGATTTCATTGAAACAGATAAGATTCTCAAGGAGCTCGACAGGGTTAACACTAAGAAGATGTTTCTTCTTATGGGAGAGTCGGGGACCAGAGGAAATAATCTCAGAATATAGCAGTGCCAATTTAAGATTGAGGTGAGGCAGAATTTCTTCTCTTAAAGGGTTGTGAGTCTTTCAAATCCTTGTCACCGAGAGCTTTGGGACGAAGAGTCCGTGTGTATATTTAAGGCTGAGATAGATCGATTCTTGATCAATAGGGGAATCAAAGGAGATGAGAAAAATGCAGGAAAGTTGACATGAGGAGCATCAGATCAGCCATGATCGTATTGAATAGTGGTTTCTGTTCCTATTTCTTATGGCCTTATGATCTAATTTAACAAATGTTTGACAAATCCTCATTTAATAATATTGGATCAGCATAGGGGCACTTATATTTTCTTTTACATGCATGGTGCTTGGTGTGCACTCATAAAAATTCCTTAATTAAGGGATCAACTTTCATTTGCATGACTATCTATAGCTTCAAATATAACAAGGCAATACTATGCATGTTTGTTTTAATAATTCACTAAAATCACAGAAACAAAAAGTCATAAAATTGGCTTATTGCTTCCAATTGAAAGTATTTTGGAAAGTTAGCATTTCTCCCCACCATGGTATTGGTTCTTTACTCTAACTGGTTTTCCATCCCTAGCATCACCTGCTTGCTCAAAGCCTCTGTCGGGAGTTTGAGCCAGACTGGCTGTGTCAGAGTTTTAGTGGGACTATTGTAGTGGGAAGAAAAACACAGCTGCTAACTTGATAATCAAAATTAGCCTGCTTTAACATCTTTGCCTGTTGTTTCAGGGACTTTTAGAAAATGACACTCCGATGATGATTGCATAAAATTGTTGAAAATAAAACCTAAAAGGCTATGCCTGCATTTGAACTGACGTAATTTACATTAATAGGCCTATGCTTTGGAAAAGGATGCCGGAAACAAAGAACAAAAGTTTTTCCAGTATCATATGCCCATGAGTGGTAGGTCATTGACCTTACTGTCAGTCGTAGGAAATATAACCCATGCTTATTACTTCATTACTTTCAGGATAATAGAATTGGGCAGTCCATAATTGTAAAATAATTGTAAAATGGGCTGTCTGCATGTGATGCTTGTATTTAGAGTATTGTCTAGGTTGTAATATTATTTTGAATAAATCTGGTTGGTTATTTAATTTTGTGTGTTTTGCATCTTTTGAAGTAACAGCATGATGGAACTATCAGCATGCTCTACCTTAAGAGTATAAGTTATTATGTCTCTTTCCATTTCTACAGGAGGACTCGGATGCAAAGCAGCTGTAACAGGGTTCTGGCACTAACCTAACAAAGGATGAATATGTATTTATCTGCAGCCTTGAGTTTTAAATGAACTTCCTGCAAAGTACTTTGTGAAGTGGAATAAATAAACTGGTAATTTTCTGTCTCTACCAATGAGACCTCAGAAAAAAATTACATTGAAATTGAACATTATTTAATTGAAAACAAGTACGAACAGTCTGTTTATCCAAAGTTTGTCTATGATGCTCTGTTGTCTTTTTCTACTGGACTGGCTAATTGTTTTTGGAAATCAAAATAATAACCCATCATTCACAAAGAACATGTCAAGTAATGAAAGTAATCAGTGGCCTAGGACAGTTTTCTGGACAATCCGGAATAACCTTTACATTCTATATTTCTCAATTTGTTGAATAATCTCAACTGGTCAAGTGTAAGCTTGCTCAACACTTTCAGAAATGGAAATCAAACAGACTTAAACAGAGTTGAAGTAGTATATTTCTTAATTCACTGTTTTGATTTTTTTTTTGTTTTATCTTTCAGGAATTGCTGTCATGCATTACAATCGATCCCTCAGTTTTGAAAACAAGAAGTAAGGTGAAATGACAATACATGCTGTGACAATTGTTTCGTCAGCTTGAATGATTATATTCTTGGATTTGTAATAATGTGTCAAAGCAGTCAAGATTTGGGGATTTCCATGAGGAAGGGTAAACTATACAACTAAGTCTATATATTTGATCTTTCTAACAGTTCACAGTTCAGTTCTTTGAAGAGAATATGGATAGAATTTGGTACTTTGTTTTAAATTAATGCAAATCAGGAAATGGTTTTGGTAACCCCTAGGATAATTGGTCAGAAAGAGCTGGACACTAGTGGTGAGTTGAGGGTGACTGTCCTTTATATTACAGAATTTGACTGAGTGTGGCATCAAAAAATCCTGGAAAAAATGGAGAAAATGGGAGTTTGAGGGAAAACTCTCTGCTAATCATCATCATACCAAGCAGAAAGAAAGATGGTTATGGTTATTGAAAATCAATCATCTTAGTCTAAGGACATCACCCCAAGAGATCCTCAGTGTAATATCCCAAGCTGCTTCATCAATGGCATTCCTTCCATAGCAGATCAGAGGTGAGGGTGGTCCCTGATTGCACAATGCTCAGAATTAGATACTTACGCACTCTGTGACAATATCCAGGCTTGGACTGACAAGTGGAAAACAATACTCTTGCCACACAAGTACCAGGCAACAACTAACTCTAACAAGAATCTAACAATCACCCTTTGGAGTTCAATGGCATTAGCATTGTTGAATCAACATTCTGGTGGTTCTCATTAACTAGAAATTGAACTGGACTAGCTATATAGATATTGTGGCTACCAGAGCAGAACAGATACCAGGAATTTTGCAGTGGATAACTTATCTCTGACTCCCTAAAATCTGTGCACTATCTAGGAGGCACAAATCAGAAGTGTGATGGAATTTCATACTTTCCAGTTGCAGCTCCAAAAACACTCAAGAAGGTCAATAACATCCAGGACAAAGCAGCCCTCTTGATTGACATGCCTTCTACCATCAATGTATAGTGGCATTTGTTGGCAGTGAGAGTTTGCAGAATGTCTTTAAATTAAAAGCTTTAATCATCAGAATTAAGAAGGCTTCATGTCATCTGACTTGCAAAGGAATCATTAAACTATTTCAGCAGCCCAAGGAATAGAAACTAGGAACAGTCAAGTAAGGAATTAAAAGTTGAAATAGGAATGATATTGCTCTAGGATTGAGTTTCTGTAAAGGATATTGTTGAGAAATAAGTTGAAACTTTGTTTTGCTGTTGTGTTAAGATTTTTTCTACCATATGTGTGCTTTGTTTTTTTTTCCCCTTTATGTAATAAACTAATATTCAGTTGTTAAAGAACAGCTGTTGACTCGTGTCACTTTGTTGCAGTGACTAACTATATTGATAAATGACTTCAATCATTAAACATGATCTACTAAGCCAATTTCCATTCTGGAACCTGACTTGTCCAGTATTACCATTAGCCAGGATCATAATAGCCGAATGAACATATAAGTTTTCCACCAAGTACAGTCTATGTCCTTGTCAGCCTCAGTGCTTCTTCCTAAGGTATTCAGTGTGGAAGATTCATGAGCTGTAGTGTAGTGGGTGGTAATCAAGTGATTTCCTTGGCCATATTTGATCTGATGGTTTGAAACTTCATGGAGTCCATAATTCTGACTGCGTAACACTATGTCACCAGCTTTCTTGGGTGTGGTCTGCTGGTGGAACAGTACAAACCGAGGAATGAAGCTGGTGGTGTGTATGACATTACTTGTAAGAGATGATTCTATGAGTGTGACTATATCAGGCTGATTCTTGGCTAGTCTGTGAGACATGTTCTCAGTTTTGGCACAAGTCCCCACATATTAGTAAGGAGCTCTTGGGGTTGTCAATGCAGTTGACAAGGAAGTCTATCTAGTTCAATTCCTTTTAACTTTGTCACAGATTGTACAATTCATAGTTTGCTAGGCCATTTCAGGAGGCACTAAGAATCAAGTACATTGTTGGGGTCTGGATTCACATGTTTAAGTCAGAGCCAGTAAGCTAGGGGAAGGTAGTGAGATAGTAGTAATGTCAATAACCTAGTAATCCACACCCAGATTAATATTCAGGAGACATGGGCTCAGATCACACTATAATCGATGGTGAAACTTAAATTCAATATAAATCTGAAATGAAAAAAGCAGCCTAACAGCAACCACATATTTCCTCTCAACTGGTAAAAATCTACCTATTTGACAATGGAGAAAAGCTTATTGAGGATGCAGCCGAAGATTATTGCATCTAGGTTATTTTCCTGAGGAAGTGCTATAGAACAAAAATAATTTTCTAGGAACTAAGATAATTGACTATCAACACCCACAACCATTCTCCTTTATTTTGAGTATGACTCCAACCAGCTCAGAGATTTCCCCCCAATTCCTAATGACTTCAGATTTGCTAGGATTTCTGATAGCATATGTGGGTTGGGGGTGCAGAATGAGAGGTCGGGGTGTTGGAAGCTTTCTGCAACTATCTCCTTGACCGCTCCCCCCCCCCACCGCCTCCATCTGTGCCTGAAGTTGTTTCTATATTGTGTAAGATAGAGACACACAATCCACTTCCCATCCACATCAAACCAGCAGGCAGGTGTCACCCTGGTTTACCTGCTGGGATGGCAGTTACTTTTCTCACGAGCCAGGAAGACCGATAATTGGGTGGGTGGCAGGTTGAGGCTCTTAAGTAGCCATTGATTGACCAATTAAGGGTCTTATTTGGTGGTAGGTTTGTAAGGACACCTATGGAACTTCCCGTCAGAACCTAATTACTGAAGTGGCAAAGAAGGATGGATATCTCACTTGTTCCAACTGTTTGCCCTTCCTGCTACCTCTAGAAAGGGAAGAACAAAACATTTTTTAAAATTCATTTATGGAATGAAGATGTTACTAATTAGGCCAGCATTCATTGGCCATCACTAATAGCCCTGGAGATGGTGTTGGTAAGCTGCCTTCTTGAACCAATGCAAACTTTGGGTTTTATGCTAGCCACAGAACCGTTAGGAAGGAAGTTGCAGGATTTTGACCCAGCAGCAGTGAAGGAAGTGATATCATTCCAGGTCAAGGTGGTGTGTGCCTTAGAAGGGAGCTTGCAGAGGGCGTTGTTCCAGTATATCTGCTGCTCTGGTCCTTCTAAGTGGTAAAGGTCATGCATTTGGAAGTTGCTGCCAAAGGCGATTTGTTGAATTGCTGCAGCGCATCTCACAGATGGGAAACACTGCTGCCAATGTGTGATCCTGGTGAATGTTGAAAGTTGCAGTTGGGGTGCAAATCAAAGGTGATCATTTGCCCTGGATGTGTCAATCTTCTTGAGTGTTGCTGATGCTGCATCCATTTAGGCAAGTGGAGAGTATTCCATCACATTCTTGATTTGACCCTTAGGGAAGAAAACCTGCTACGCTTACCTGGTTTGACATACATATGAATCCAAGGCCACAGCAACGTGATTGATAGTTAACTGACCTCTGGGCAAATAGAGGTGGACAATAAATCATGACCTAGGTAGTAACAGCCATCCCATGAAAAATGTTAAAGAAATATTTTCTTCCCTAAAGGATGTCCATGAACGAGATGAGCCTCTATTGCAGCTGTCAATGATTTCATAGTCACCATTGCTGAGACAAACTTTTCATTCTAGCTTTATTAATTGAAGTTAAATTCTAGCAGCTACCTAGCAGGATTTGAACTCATGTCTTTAAAGCATTAGCCAGGGCTTCTAGATTAATAGTTCAGTGATATTGCCAGTACACTACCATCTCCCCGGTGCATCAAATTACATACTTGTTACATGTAACAATTATATTTTCTTTAAAAATTTTGTGCGAAATATATTTTTCCAAATCTTCAATGCATGGGAAAAACCATTAACCGTTATATAATTGTACGCTTGAGTATATGTTGGTAGGAAATCTCACCGTCCAATGTGAAATTCCAAATCACACCTCTGTAAGTATTTTTAGATTTGCTGATACAGGAAGTTCCTACGTGTTCTATAATTACCTCTCATTTTCATCTGTTTAATAATCTAAACCAACACTGTTTGAGCTCATGCATGCACATGACAAGGTGGCACGAAATGTGTTTTTTAGAGAGCTAACACCTGTTCCTTTGCATTTTAATTAATCTAAAATTCAGAATATGTTTTTAAGTTAACACAATGCTCTATTAACTATGAACATATTTCAGATTACCCAGTTAGCATAACACCAATCTGCCAGTGGGAATATTAAAAATTATTTTGCCCAAGTTTATATTTGTATTAACTTATTATTTTAACAAAACTGCAGTTAAAACAGAATAAATCAAGAGTACCAATATTATTATAAAAAAAGCAGGAACACAAGCTAATCAATTAACAATAGCAAAGGTGTTTATTTAAAAGAACATTTTTGAAATATGACATAATTATCATATAATACTCATCCCTAGTTGCTCTTGAACAGACTCCTGTACAGAACCCATCGAGTTGCATTATTTGTTGATG